TTGATCTCCTCTGTCACTCCTGCAGCACACCTCCCTGCTGCATCACAGCTCTCATACGTGTTCTACACCACTCTAACTTACTTTTATGCCACTTCAGACCTCCTCATCCAATAAAAACCTTCAGTAATTTTATATTGGTATGTATTGCATGATAAAATCAGACTGATTATTTGTGCATATCATTATTCATTGTTTACATCCTTTACCCTTGATGTAAACCATCGTTAAAAACTGTAATCCAAAACATCTGCAAAGGCTTCCTTAGCTTTTAAATGATCCCTCAGTTGAAGATGAATTACTTAAATCAATTAATTTTTGCACCATATTCTCTCTCTCTTTTTTATTTATTTATATTTTTTGGTTTCACCTATCTATTATAGTTATCTATTTTTTATCTTTCAAGGTCAGGGGTCTCCACAGCCAAACACCTGTCTCCATCTAGTCCTGTCTTCTGGATCCTTTACCCTCATACTACCAACTCAACGCATCCAAAAATCTATTTTTGGTCATCCTCCTGCCTGGTAGATCCAACATCAGCATCTTTCTACCTATAATCCTCTGGACATGTCCAAACCATCTAAGTCATGCCTCATACTTTATCTCCAAAACATCTAACAAAACATCTGATGGACTCATTTCTCTTCCTATCCATTCTCTTCTCTCCTAGAGAACCTCAACATCTTGGGTTTCGCAACCTCTAGTTCTTCCCCAACAACCCCTTTCAGCCTGTCCATCACCAAAGCAAACAAGAAGGGGCTTTGAGCCAATCTATGACACAGTCCCATCTCCACCTTGATCTCCTCTATCACTCCTGCAGCACACCTCCCTGCTGTATCACAGCTCTCAGACGTGTTCTACACCACTCTAACTTACTTTTATGTCACTTCATACCTCCTAATCCAATAAAAACCTTTAATAATTTTATATTGGTATGTATTGCATGATAAAATCAAACTGATTATAAGCTCATTTATTTGTTTTTCATTTTGGGGAGTGATAAAAGTTTAAAATTGAATTCTCTATGAGCAGAACTCTTTAAGTTGACATTTCTAGCTCCAACAGTCGCTTTAAATGCGTGGATGTGGTATTTTTGTACTTTTTAGCAGACCATTCAGTTTGTTGGACATCTGGAACAAGCATCTCCATTAAAAACAACTTTCTGTGACTGAATCACTTAGACAAATCATTCCCAGTTGCTTCAGAACTTTTCCAGACATCTGAATCCAAACCTCATGTTTCTTGTATCTGTGGTATGTATGGAACAGGCGGTTCTGCCCTCTCAGACTCTTCGCTGGTCAAGCCTGTCCTTCTGCTTCTCTTCTGTCCTTGATGAGATGAACTGATCCCAGTTGTTCTCTCACCACCAGTATACATTTCCCACAAAGTTTATGAAAGGCTCAGCGTTTAGCTACAATCTGTTATTTCTCTGCCAAAGTTATCATTTGTTCCCATTTACAGATTACCTTCCATTTATGACCTCATGGTCGGTGACATCACAGTGGCAACATTTCATCAGTGCACTGCGCAGGGTGGCAGTCATATCAGAGGAATGTCTGTGACTCAAGGAATTGTTGATCTGCTCAGCTAATTGTTTTGTCCCTGACATTTCTGGAAAACAAGAAGAGAGCTATTTCAAACAATGACCAGCCAACTCTGACCTTCGATGGGAGGCAAACTGCTCATGCAGAAATCACAACGAGGCAGTGTGCCAGCTATTACACCACTTTTAGAACAATTGTTGCATTCAGAACTGTAAACCCCCGGAAGAAACTCCTGCTTACAATCACTCTAAAACATATGCCTTCTTATAGGTGCGATTTCAAGTTTTCCTAAAGCTGAGGAACACTGACTTTCATTTAGTAGTCAACTGACATCTGACAGTGTACCATCCGCCCTACCTATTCCTCTCTGGATTTAGCTACATTTGCACAGATGGAGGTTTGAAGTAAACTAAACTGTTTTAAAGCAAATTAAGTAGATTTTTTTTTTATTGTTTCATCATCTGCATTAAGTTAATGAAATTTGCATTGCTTTTTACCTACCTCTTCATGGTCATTTCTGCATTTAAGACCTCCTCCTGTCATGTAACTAACAGACTCGGATTTTACTGTGAAAGTTCTGTTTACTTGACATTTTGAAACTCTGAAAAAAGAAAGGAATTCTTTATCTTCTTGCCAGTTTGACCGACCTTGCTTAAAAATAACACATACAAAAGGAGAAAGAGAAGAAAATGCAACCTCATTTCACACAATGGCAAATAAAAGTGACTTTTGAAAGCTAAACCAAGCAAAAAAAAAAAAGGTGTTTAGTCTTTAGTACGTTTGTTCTGCGTAATCCTTCCATTGTTTTTATTTATTTATATATATATTTTTTGCTTGCTGACAAGTTCGCCAATCTGTCATCAGAGACAATGGAGTTCACACATCGGACCACTCATGGATCCAGAGGGCAACGTCGTCCTCTGCTGCCCACAGATAAACGGATAAGGAAGTAACGCCACCACCACTTGCAGTGCTCTGAAGAAGGCTACTGTGTTAGCCGAAGCTTGTCTGCAAAAAAACATGAAAACAAATCTTCTACCATGCTGTGTTTAAAAAACTTAAAATAATGAAATGGTGTTTAGTGTTATCCGTGAAGCAGATTCCCTTTTTTTCTGTATAAGTTCATGATACAATTATAGAAACAAACAATACACTTTTTAATTGAATCATTTGATTTTGCTTCTACAGTTAAAGTTATTAGAAAACAAATAGCAGCCATCTACAGCAGAAAGAAAAATAAGTATCAGTCTACTCAAACCTGATTTAAATATGACCAATTTGGATTATAATTTATTTATTTTTCTGAATTAAGGAACATAAATTGACTAAAACTGTATAATAAATGGATTAGCAACTGCAAAAGCTTCTGATTAACCATGTTATGCTGCGTGTTATCACACAGCAGTGATGGTGGATGTGTTTCACACGAGCACCTGCAAAAGTAATAAAAATAAGTCTTTTGAAAAATAAATGTTTCATAGCTACAATTATAATAACAATGAACTGGTTTGGAGAAACAAAACTAAACCAAAAACATGATCGGAAGGTTTTGATAATGATGATGTCAGCTGCACCTGGTGCTTCCAGTCCAGTGCTAATACATTTGCAGATATGATCCCAGTGCTAGGTTACAAAAACAAACCAAAACATGCAACAGACAATGAAGTAACATGTAGAAAATATAATAAACTTGGGATTATCAACATAGAAATTTGAAGATTTGCTATTATTTTGAAAAGGATAATCAACTGTGAGATGCACTATCCTGAGTCTTCCTGTTTTGGATCGTTCTGTAATCATGACAACGGGGTCGTAGTAGCTCAACAGATTGAGCAGGTTGTCCAGTAATCGGAAGGTTGCAGGTTCGAACCCGGCTCAGGACAGAGAATTCTGCTGTTGTGTCCTTGGGCAAGACACTTAACCCCCCTTGCCTGCTGGTGGTGGTCGGAGGGACCGGCGGCACCTGTGCTTGGCAGCCTCGCCTCTGTCAGTGCGTCCCAGGCATGGACGTAATTTTGGGGGTGGACAGGGGGGACATGTCCCCCCCACTTTTTCCAAAGTCAAGTTTTGACCCCTGCACTTTTTACCATCCAAAAACAATATTACGCTATATTAAATTGACACTGGTTGAGCTCTAGGACCAAGCGGAAAACTACCGTTTGTGTTGAAGCCTGTTTCCCATTAGAGCATCAGGGATGGACCTTTAAAGCGCTCGAGCGCCAATGGAGCTAAATTTTCTCGTCGGGCGGTAAATACTTGATGACTTACCGCCCGGGTGGCACCCAAGCCTCGTTTGTCATTTACACACCGGCTTTCACCTACATCATGGCTGCGCCTTCTAGGAAGCCGCCGTTTTCGTTTCGCGCGCGTGAACCTGCACGCCTCTAGCCACGTACTGCACTTGTACGATTCGTGCACGTACTGCACGATTCTTGTTATAGTCACGTGATCTATAAGTTCACTATTAAAGACGGAGTGGAACCACGCTAGAAACACACAAGCACGCAGGAAGATGGCGCCACCACAGGGATGGGATTTCTTGATGAAATCTCCAGCAAAACGCTTTAAAACTGGTGAGGAGAAGCGAGACAGTTCGAAACGGTATGAAGCAGAGAAGCGTGTGCGTAGGTGGAATGATTCTTGGCGGTTTAAAGAAGACGGGAGGCGCAATGGCTCGAGTACAGCAAAGTGGAGTTGGTGATGTACTGCGTTGTATGCTGGAAGTATGCGACGACAAAATCGAGTTTTGTTGAGGGAACAAACAAATTCAAACTTGAATACGTTATTATGTTTGTGAATGTGTACAAAATAAAGGTTTATTACATTCAAAACGGTTCAGTTGTTATTTTGACTCGTTTTGGCAGCTGACCAGCGGGGCCGGTAGATTCTTGGCGGGGCCGGTAAATATTCAGAGTTACCGCCTCGGCTGGCCGGTTGGTTTTGAAGTTAATGTCCACCCCTGAGCATACTATAAAGACCCCCCCACCCCCCCCCTCCCACACACACACACACACACCCAACCCACCCCACTCCGTGTGCGCCCCCACTTCGAAAGTGAAAATTACGTCCATGGTCCGAGGGCAGCTGTGGCTACATCGTAGCTCATCACCATCAGTGTGTGTGAATGGATGAATGATACACTGTAGTGTAAAGCGCTTTGGAGTCCTTATTCTGAGAGGCGTTATACAAGTGCAGGTCATGTATCATTTAACAGTGATGCAATCCAGTGGTTCAGTGCAGAGCTGCTGATTTTCCAATCACTCAGAGTAACATGCAGTTAACTTCAGCATGATACGGGTAAAAAAGATAATGTATTGGTCTTAAATTATATAATACATGATTAATAAAACAAACTATGTATTGCAAAATATGCTTTGTGGATGTGTGAAGACTAAATATGTATTTGAAATGTGTGACTGATTCACGTGTGTCTGCATTAGCATTAATAAATACAAATGCTTTAATGTTTTAAAGCAGCTTTATTTTATTCAGACAAAGGCAGCAAATAATACGAGGACAAAATGTAAAAGAAAGAATGACAACCATGCTAGTTAAACAACCAGCACAACACTCCTTATCTTTACACCAGAGGAAGGACATCAAAATAAAATTCCTGGTGCTTTCTCTTAGTTTATGTGAACTTTGGGACACTTTGCATAGAGGTGAAAAGTTAACATGCAGAGGTGACCCACTGCCTTCAGTGGTTGATATGCTCTGGTTGATTTGGGCTCCTGGGGTGTGCATGGGTGTGCAAGTGTGTGTGCGTGTGTGTAACGACAGTCAAACATCAGCCTCCAGTTTCTGCAAGAGACTCAACTCATTTAATTATGACCGTTGAGTTCAGAAGGATTTTGTCCTCTTATTTTTGATCAATTCCAACATAAATCTAACGCACAACACATCGACCATAATTTATCACCATCCCAAGCCACACAGTGGCACAGCAATAAAAATCATGATGCTACATAAACAAATCCAACTTATTATGGAGAAAATGGCTTATTATTACATTTGGGAAAGTACAGAGTGAGATGGGTTTCTAATAAAAGCTAAATCTGCTGATCCATTTCTCTCTTTTATACATTATATTGTGCTCTTATAGTAGGTGCCAGTAAAGGAGGTATGTAGTTAATCTGACCTTTCCTAATTGAACAATTCCAAGCATGTGCACTACAAACGTGCAACTCTAACCCTACAACATGCGGAAAGCCCAGTGAGAGCTGCACAATGAAAGCCTTCAAAACACGAGCTACTGTACCTGTGAGGGCAGATCATGTAAACCTCTGTTTGAAGATGAAACATTTGAAAATACTTGACTTTTAAAAACTTATTTAGAAACTGAATCTGAACTTTGCACAGTAACCTGTTTAGGCCTGGTTTGCTATTTGAATTGCACCTTATAAAAAATGCATTTTTTTGTCTGTTTAACATTTTCTTCTTATTTATTTACAAGCAGAGAATTTCCAGAAAAAGTTCAGATGATTTTTGTTTTAATTATTTCAAACACAATGAAAGCTGCAAACCAAAAAAACTTTTGCACATTCTTTGCAAAAATAATCTGTTAAAATATTCAACTATTAATGAATCTACAGGAAAATAATAAGAAAGGTTTTAGCTGAGAATAGGCAGGATTTATATTTTTCAAATTTTTAACAGAGCCATCAAATGAGGTGAGGGTTTAAAGATTTATAAATAAATTATGATCCATACCCAGATTATTTAAAAAGTCATAAACCATGAAAAAAGATTATCACTCACTGTACATATTAAACAAAATTATGATGAAAGATGACCCTCCAACCTTCCACAGTAGCATTTGTCAACTCAATTTGATTTTGTTGATATCATGTTTGTCAAATTCAGCAAGTATATAAAAATTTCCCACTGAGACTAATAAAGTATTGTTGAATTGAAAAATGCAGCAAAACAAAGAAAGGCTGCTGAAAGAGGGCACACACACTTCACCGAGGCACATTCCTTTGCATCATTACAGCTGTTACAAGTGGAAATGTTTGGACAACCCTACCAGAGAGTTGGATGCAAATGGCAGCATGTTTTCCTTTGATTGTCCTCTTACTCTGATTAATGACACTGTAGCACAAAGTTGTGGCGTTTGACATGGTGGCTTTGGAGGGTGCAGCCATTCTGCACCGTGCAGCTCCAGAGACAGCATGCAGTACCACACAACGGCCACAGAGAGGAGGTGCTGATGCAAACTGTTACACGAGCTCTCCCTGAGGAGATCTGAGTGTTAACGACTTCCTTTTGACAAGAAACACAGTGATGAGCTGTACACGCAGCATGTTTCTGAGGGCAGCGTGTCATATATCTGAGCAGCTGATCCTCGATGGCAGTGGCTTGGATTTCTTCGTAAAGCTCTCAAGTCTGTGTGTGGAAATGGCAGTCTACATTTGGCATGGCAACAGTTAAAAGAAAAGTAAAGGATTGTCTTTTGGCACGATTGTCAGTAGAGAATTAATAATAACATATTATTTTACAGTTAAGTAGTTTTTCTTCCATTAGGAGCTTATCATCCCTCACCAGCCACTGATATTGAATCAAAGACTGTGATGCTTTCTTGCATGAATGCAGATAGTTACTGCAACACACAACTAGTTTACAGACACACACACACACACACACACACACACACACACACACACACACACACATGCACACAAACTCCAGTCTGACTGGACTCCAGAGTCACTGAGTTCGAGGACACAGAAATCCCAAAATGTAATTTTTGTCTGTCAACAAGAAAGAGGAGTCCAGCAGTTCCGTGTACAGGAGTTTTATGCTGACAGGTCTGTTATGACCAGTTTTTCCATTTTATTCCCAATCTCTCCAGGGACTTGAAGCTCCTCTGCTTCGTAGTCATCATCAAATGTCCTGAGAACACAATACACATGCAAATGCTTAGAATTTTTGCTATTTTCCTAACAAAAATGACTAACTGTGTCTGTGTATACCCCTCATGTAGCTGCTCGTTTGCAGTCTCCTCTGCTACCAGAATCTCGTACTCCTCTGAGGCGTATTTATCCCAGTCTGATGGCTCCGGACATTCACTACCAATGTCCTGAAACACATATTGACATTTCAGAGCTAGACAGCTTTAAACAATACATAAACATTGTGCTGCCAACCTCTCAGTTAGAAATATATCTATTGGTTGCTCAAAAAGTAAAAAAATACAATCACTTAGTTTACATAACTGTCCGTGTGTGCGTAAGTTCCCCAGTTCCCTTGGACTGTAAACACTAACACACGGTCTTTGTGTAGCTAGTTGTGAAGAAGTGATTTCTCTCTTATCTAGTCTGCACTTTAAATAAAGAACCCAAAAACAAAGTTTTGCCTGCAGGGGGTACAAGCTCCCTGTTCAGTCTTCCTGAAGAAGAGTTTAATCTGCAGAAATGGTTGAACTTTATCTTTGGGAGCTCTCAAAAATCTAGCCAGAATGTGACCCGGATGTTTATTAAAAAACCGCCAGTACTGGAGTGGGGTTTCAGATGGATTACTTCTACAAACTCCAAATTGAAAATGAACTGATGAATATGCCAGGATGGTGATTACAGCCAAAATGCTAACCGCTAGCTGAATGGTTATAAAGTTTGGTGGGTGAGCATCAGGGATGGACTGGGACAAATAACTCAGGCTGGGAATCTGCTACTATTTCAGCTATCTTTCCTCAGTTAAAGTGGTGTGTGTGTGTGTGTGTGCGCGCGTGTGCGTGTGTGTGTGTGTGTGTGTGTGTGTGTGTGTGTGTGTGTGTGTGTGTGTGTGTGTGTGTGTTAGCAGCTCGACCTGGTTCTCTAATAGAACTGTTGGCTAAGAGCAACACAACTCACTGTATAATTTTGATATTTTCTTTCCACAAATAACACCATCCTGTTGTGGAGTTGTCAATGCCAACAGTTAGCTTCTACTGACTGAGAAGTGCTCTGCTCTCTCCTGGATGCTAAATCAACAACAACCTTCCCTGTCGTGAGCCATGATGGGTGAGTCCATGAATTGCAAATTTTACAATGTGACGTGTCTTTGACTGCCTTTTCGAATCCAAGAGTTTCCTCAACAATCTTTTTAATTGGCGGCTATTGCAGGAAATAGATGTAGAAGACTATTTTCATGTGTAGCCTGCATGTGAAACTCAGAGGAACCAATCGTATTTCTAAAATAACAAGTAAAAAATGGTTTCTCAAAGAACTTTGCCTTTAAATGTTTGTTAAATACTTTTACTTTAAAGTACATTTGAAAAAGCATATTTTAGTGCTTCAGAATGAAGTCAAAAATTTCTTGGATAATTCAACTTTTACTCAAGTAATTTTTACTCCTTTTTCTGTACTTTCACTTAAGTGAAAAAATCAAGTACTTCTTCCACCACTGCTGAAAACTAACAGTTTTTATCTGACAGGGATTTAAAAGGTAACCTCAATAACTTTAATTGACAATATGAATTATGATCTTAAATAATATTTCAAATGATGTCAATAGAAGATGACAACATAAGTTAGACCTGTGTAACAGTGAATCGCAGCACTTATCTTACCTCCATATCTTCTAGATAATTAAAAAAATGTGATGCCTTCTGAATTGTTTACCATAATTTTACCATAATAAAATATTAATTTTTTTTATGTTAGTCTATTTTTGACCAATCTACTTTATAATCAATAAATGTTGATCATTATTTATGTCTGAGGGTCACAGTCCACTGAAGGATGAGTTGATGCGTCCTTGATACAACGAGCGGGGCAAGAAGACATCCGATAACTTTGAGTGTAAGTGTATCTATGCCATGTACTTAGGATTGGAACAATACTTGGGCCAACATCGAAGGCGTTTCACAAGTTTAGACAAGTCCACATAATTAGAAACAGTGGAGGAAAACATGTTCTGTCACTAATATAATATTTTAATTCATTTGAAAGTATTTTCCCATATTTGCTTTTGTTATTAGGGTCTGTTGCACACAATGAAACCAAAATAAATCAGATTTGCACCTTTTGCACAGCAAATGGATCTCTCTGCTCGTGGTCCAGGTACTTCTCCAGATTAAAGAATGTGTCAAAGAATATGTGAGCCATCCGGCAGCGCTTCAGATCACTGAGAGTTATTTTACCTGGAGGAAAGATGAGGGTGTTAAACTCCCAAAGCAATGGAGAAGCATGGTGGGATTTATCCTACTGTCTGATAGGGATGATCAGAGGTCTAACCTGTACTCTCAGGTTTGACAAGGTCGAGCATCTGGCAGAGCAGATCCTGGAAGGGTAAAGGTTCGATGCCCATCCTTTCCATCCTCTCACACTGCTCTTCATAGAAATACTCTAACTCGTACATGGAGAGGACACCATCCCCATCCACATCCATGCAGCGGAACCAGTACTCTATACTGGAAAGATAAAAAACACGAATTTAATTAGAAGAGAGCTGCTGCATATTGATCAGATGAACACAGAGTGAAAACACTCAAACAGATGTTAAGTCCCACATCTGCTTACTACCTGGTTGGGTTTTTCTTGTCTTCCTCAGAAATGATGAACCAAACAAATTCAGCATAGCTCATCCTGCCTTCCTTCTGCACAGCGTTGCCCCTGGAAAGCAGACATTCACATTCAGACGATTTTTTCTATGATGAAGCAACCTTCTTCTGCCTGTTTGTGGATGTGTTTCCACTTACCGAGTCACAGCGCCGGAAAACAATCTTTCAGTAATTCTGTTTGAGGATGCTGTTAACAAATGAACAACCAGGATTGAGCTATAATAAACAAGTGGAGACCGTTTCCGACTGCTCCTTCAAGGGAAGTCATTTCAGCTCTTACCATGGTCATTGTATCTCGCCAGATCTTTGAAGTCAATGTACAGGTCATGATCGGTGTCCAGCTCCCAAAACTTGCAGTAGATGACGTAGAAATGCTCGTAGGAGAAGTAGTCAGTGATCTGGTTGATATCGTCCTCTTCTTCCAGCAGGGCCAGGGTTTGGAGGAAGTTACTCCTGCGCAGCTCTGTAATGTTAATGCGGCCAGTCCACGAACGGTTCACCACATAGAAAATTCTTTGAATCACCTGTCAGCACAGAACAGTAAATACAGTCAGATTAGGAATGGGACGCCACGAAGTCATCATCTCTCTGGCGTTTACTGAGCCAAAGTTCTTTTTGGAGGAAGGGGGTATGTGATTTTTATTTCAGTCCTTGTATAAAAATCAGTTGCAACAGGTAAAATACAGAGAAAACATCAAGCATAAACACAAAGCAAAAGGCACAATTTTAACAGCAAATCTTTATTTTTACCCCAATTACCCACCAAATGGCAGAACATGTACAAATACTTGTGCAACAACTGGATGCCCGTACAATTGCCATATTAGAAGACGTTCAGTCTTCTTTATTTAAAAGGACTTTAGTTTTTGAAAAGTGTGACTAATAAATTAACTAAAAGAAAAAATTTAAAGCTTTCTGACTGTATACGGCCAGAGGCAAAACATCTTTGAATGGCACGTGTAAAAAGGTATTCAAAGTTATATATGGTTCTTTGGATTTTCACAGCAGGATTTTTAAGAAAATCTGATGTTTTTGAGTAGCGCAGCAAAAACACAAAATTGTTTCTGGTCTAAGCTCTGGGCAGCTGGTAATGTCTCACAGGGAGCTCTGCTCAATCAGTTAGTGTAAAGAATCCCCAACCTTGGTTTATCTGTGCTAGCATAGCAGAAGACAATGTTCCATCAGTCAGATGTAGCTTCTGAAACCTCTGCTAGTCAGTCAGAACTTGTTTTTTCTGGATTACTACGAGGAGAACGGATATCGGAGTACCGGCGGGATTCTGCTGCGTCCCTCAGAGTGTCTAACTCGGAACCGCAAGCCAGTGACAAAACACGGGTTAGCCTTCGAGGCTAACGCACAGCTGGACATATCCAAGTCTCAGACAACATGCTGATCGATATGGACGCTGATGGTAAAACCGACGTGGAAGGACGGTGAACGTGGATGATGTTGAAGCCACTTGTTAGCTTATCTGGTTTTGGCAGAAATCCAAGGGTAGCGGTTGCGGTTCCAGACGGATTTATAGTTCCAATATGTAGATTATCATTTTAGATTAAACCTCTAAGCGAATAGCCCTGACCAGCCCCTGTAGTCCGTGCATCAGCTGTGCTAACGGTCACTGCAGGAAGCTAGTACGCCAAGTTTCTCCTCACAACAGTTTGACTTTAATGTTGCTGTTAGTTAAAAATGCATGTAGGACTCCAACATAAGGCTCAGACCTTTTGCTGCAACTGTAAACACAGTTTTACGTAATCATTGAGAGCACAACGATGAACAAAATACAGGTAATTACATTATTAGCAGCAGCAGCTGCCCTGTGAGACGTCTTCGGTGACATATCTGCAGCACACTTCTTCACTGTTTACAGTTTACATTATATAATATATATATAGTTTACAGTTTGTACAGGAAGTTTTCATCCTCAATAAACAAATCCTTCTTCTCACGTGTATTCACACTTACAAAAATCTAAATCTTAGTGCAGGGACTTAGTCCAAGGGGCCCAACTGAAACCAGTGTCATGGCAGGTTCATCAAAACGCGGATTAGTGACCGTTTCCTGAAACATCCGAGTACCAGGGTCACAGCAGCACGTCAGCTGACCCAGACTGCAAGGTAAGTGTCTGAAAATGGACATATGGTGGTTCCAGGGCCTCATCAGCAAATGGACTGCAGGGAGGGCAGCAGTGTTTCCGTGACATCACAAAACGCTGACGCACCTCAAGCATCTCTGCACTTTTGTGAAGCAAATCCTTGCCTTCAGCGGCACGTGGCTCAGCTGCACCGGTCCACTTTCACAAGTGTGTAGGTTCAAATGTTGCACAGCTGATTCTCACAGAGGCAGTTTTGCTGACTACATAAGATGAGGTTGTTAATGAGACCAAATAGGTTTCTATGGGGAATCAAATTAAAGTCTTTATTAAGTAGGACATTATTAACAAAAAGTTTGATTTTAATGGTAAATTGTTGGTCAGTATAAAGTTACAAGTAGTGCAAAAAGTACAAAAAATATATTTTATTAATGATTTTGATATAAAATATTTAAAATTTTCACATTTCCGCTGAAAGTTCATCATTTTTTATCATAAGTTCTGTGTTTTTCTGCAGTGAGGTAGACTGATTCTCCTCAAGGACAAGTAGGGAGTAGAGTATTTGTATTTATTCATACATTTATTTTACATTTTAAGCAGCACTGAATAATTTTATTCATTTGGTACTATTGACGATATAATGAAATCTTTTAAAAAACAACTAATCATGCCAAGGGCAGCCGTGGCTGAACGGGGAAAGCAGCTGTCCTATGATTCTAAGGTCATAGGTCATGCCAAAGCTTCGAAGAGCAAGAACCCTAAAGTTCGCCCCTGGATGCAATACAAATGGCAGCCAACTGCTCCTTATTAAGAATGGGTCAAATTCCACCAAAAAAATTCCCTAAAGGGATCCTAAAAAGTAAACAAAAACAAATGTAGGCTACTACCTTAGATTTTGTCTACTCACGTCTTTATGACCTGAACCATTAAAGCTGAGGTGACTTTACAGATACCAGCTGACTACTAGAGATCACATGAACACAATGTAACTCTACATAGAGACAAGCGATTAGGCTTAGTGCCATTTACCGTTGTTATGTAGCGTGAATGAAACTCTGGTGCATCCTTCAAAAATGTGAGCCCAGGATGAGTGTCCACTATGTCCTGTCGGGCATAAACGAGAAATAGAAGAAAGTCCATGAGTGTTTAATTTATCTGTTAAATGAAGGGTGGAAACAACCTACCTGCAGTAGAGGAATAAAGTCTTCCTGCTCTAAATAGTTACAGCCAGGTTTAGCTAACATGTAAATGAACTTTGATGAATCATCATGGCAGCTGTGCAGCAACCTGCAGAGGATGAAAAAATAGGACATTTTGTGGTATATGAACCTAATAAGATTTGTAATTTCGGCCACATTTTGACTTACTTTCTCCATGTTGCAACAAAAGAGTGGACAGATACAAAGCCTGTCCTCTCGCCGCTTGCTCCATAAAACATGGGAGCTTTCCAGTACAGAGGACAGCCACAAACCTGGAGAAGAATCAGGTAAATACAAATTATTGAGAAAACATTAATAGTTTGATGTAGATCATTTGGAATATGATTACATATAAACTAGGTGGAATGATTTTTAAGAAGAGAAAAGGTCATTAATGGGAAAAAATCTGTAATTTCATATAGATTTTCCTTTAATTTTTTAATAATTACAAGTTTTTCAATTCAGAGCTTTAAACAGCTAACCTTTGTGATCTTGCCCATTTCGTAGATGTCAGCCTTCTCCTCCTCGAACTCGGTGAAGGCCCTCTCAATGGCAGCAATGATCGCGTCGTGGTTGGCAGTCGAGCCCAGGGCAGGGAGCCCACGGGGGTAGTAGAACCTGGGAATGTTGATGGCAGGAGGAGGGGGGGTGACTATCACCGGAGTTGGAGGAGGACTTGGTGATCGTGGTGTGGGGGCAGGAGCTGCTGTGGCTGGAGCTGGTGGGGGCGTTCCTGGTTTCTTTTCTGGTTTGGACTGGACCTGAGAAGATGAGGAGGACATCAGGTGTGGGGACAGACAACAACGACCAGGGCCGACCATGATTGGGTCAGTGTTGATGCTTTGAAAGACAATAACCTGGATAAAAACCACACTCCTTAAATAAATACTCAACTATTACTTAGCTTCCCAAAGTAGAACAAAATTAATTTGTGAGAAAAGGAAATATTCATTTCAATGACAATTTCCTTCAAGCTCTAAACAAGACAAATGTGTATGGTAAAGGCTTAATGTCCCATGTAAAGGAGACAGAAATTCCTATTGAGTGAAAACTTTTTATCCCCTTCAAAAAATTACAAAACAGCTCATCATTTTTTTCTTCCAGTATATGTTAAAGACCAAGTTCACTAGTTGTCTCTGTACATTTGCAGTGGTCTCTAATATAATGAATGCCTTGCGAGTCAATATGTGTGTGAGAAAAGCTCTTGTGCTCTAGTAAAAGATGGTCTGTGGAGTTAAGAGCAGAACACGCCAGGATTTAGCGTCTTATTTCCTGATATTTGGACATCTCTTCTCTGATTGGCTACCAGCAACACGACTACCAGAGCTGTATAGTCAAGGACACTGGACTCCACTCTGTTTGCTTTGCAATGTTGATGTTTTATCCCCACAAATAACACAAGCCTGAAGGAATTATGGTTTTTGGTGTAGTTGCCAATGCTAACAATTAGCTTCTACTAGCTGAGACGAGCTCTGCTCTCTCCTGGACGCCAAACAACAACAGCCTTCCCCATCGCAAGGTGGGTCAGTCTACGAATGCTAATTTTATAGTGTGATGTAGATCTGACTGGCTTTTCTAATGCAAGCATTTTCCCGTCTAATCTGTATTGCCAGCTAACGCAGGAAATAGGGGTAGAAGACTATTTTCATTTAGCCAGCATGTGAAAGTCAGACCGATCAATCATATTTCAGAAATAACAAGTAAAAAAAAAACAGTTTCTCAGTGAACTTGGCCTTTACAGAAAGGTCCATGGGTTTAGTAAAATAAGGTTTACGTTTAATGATCACAACCTCTAACGTGCTAATAAAGAAAACAACCCAGATTTAAGTGTGTCTAGTGTTAATAAAAGCCTCTTTAGCTTTCAAAATAAAAGCATTTTAAATGATCTGTGAAAAAGAGCTGAATGAAAGTTTTTAGATCTTTTTGTCTGTTTTCTGTTTGAAATGTAAAACATGCCAATAAACAAATATTGCCTGGAAGGGACCAACAAACTCACTTGAACTATACACGACATAGATACACCTATTGTTTCAGGGGCGACAGTGAAAGGCCGTGATTCCACACAATGAAAGGCACAAAAGAAAAAAAATGAAAAGAAGCAACACTCTTGCCTAAAGCCCATGTGGACGTCCCCGCTGGCCTCTTGGGCCTCTGTTCTGTGTGTATTGAGCAGGACAGCTGTAGCAGAGCTTCCCTTCACAGCATTCATTCTATCACTCTATTCCTGCACACCCCCATGTATGCTATAAATATCCTGCCAATATCAGACTCAAAATAGTTTGCCATCCATGGTATGTACCTCTGTTTGTATAAGAGTGGCAGAAAAACGTTCAATGCAGTGACCATCCGTACATTTTTACAGATCATTTTTAAAAATGTCGGTACTTTTCCTCGTTTACTGTTTACAGAAATAGTGTGAGATCTCCTTACACATGCACACTCGCTCCTGCCTGTTGAACTGGCTGACCTGTTGCTGCTGGAAAGACTTGAGTCTCTTCTTGAAGCGAGAGGGGAGAACAAAGTCACACCCCCTGGCCAGAAAAGCCAGCTCCCCCCTCAGGTCGGGGTCCAGCCGTAACGACGTCTCCTTGATCATCATGGTGGAGGCCGACACTTGTAACCCTCCACAAGATACGGCCAGCGACGCAGCAACAGACACGGTGACACCAAGCTCGCTCAGAAACCAAAGAAACCACAGCAGGGAAGTGTTTTCCAGATCTCTACTCAACCAGCTTGAAGTTTTGAAGACTAGAAAAAACTAAAGTACCTCAGGAAAGCAATATTTTACTCCACATGTCCAGGTGAACCTCCAAACACCTCCGTCAGCAACAGCTCACGTTCACTAAATGTTTCTCCTAAGATCTCCACTTATCCACGTCAATTTCTAAGAATCCAGGAGAGCAATAATCCACTTGTAGAGGTGTGCAAACAGATATTCCCCAGATGTGTTGTGCAGCGAGGCAAGAGAGGAGACAGAAACATGGCACCACGCCGTTTTATGGCCAAATGCGATCCCAAACTGCATTTTCTCTCAGGGGAACAAACCGGCTGGGTGTCCCCATGTCAGCTCTGGATGTAGACTGGTTCAGCCTCAGTGGTGCCTGCTGCTCCAAGCTGGGCTCTGACCAAACTGCACTGAGAAATATGAGCCATGTAGAGGCCTGGCAACACACACACACCTCAAACTGTCTGTCTAAGCATTTGGGTGGTGAGTGGGAGGGGGGTGCAAACATGTTGCATTTCGGTGTGTAGTGTTTTGCAGGATCCGATGGAAATTATTTTACGGGAGACGGGAAGCTTCATCCACAGCTGCGTGTGAGTAGGTGGGATGAGAGAGATGCAATAACTTTGTGGATGAAATCTGAGATGCATTGTTGAATTAGCAAGCAAAGCATCTGCTGTTTGATTTGTTATTGTAAAGTTTTTTTTTCACAGGATGAAATCGGAGCATTCCCAAAAGTTATGATCCGCAACTGTAGCTGTTAATTCTTAGTAGATTCATCTGAAGTTATTATTAATTGAAATTAATAATAAAAATGTCATTATTGGTCTATATGGTCTTGAGTCGGAAAAGGGTAGAATGCTTCTCCGGTCAGGGACGAGGTCCTGCCCCAAGTGGAGGAGTTAAAGTGTCTCGGGGTCTTGTTCACGAGTGAGGGAAAGATGGAGCCCCAGATCGACAGGTGGATTGGTGCTGTGTCTGCAGTGATGTGGGGGTTGTACCGATCTGTGGTGAAGAAAGAGCTAAACCGGAAGGAAAAGCTCTCTATTTACTGGTCGGTCTATATTCCAACACTCACCTATGGTCACGAGCTTTGGGTAGTGACCGAAAGAAAGAGATCACGGATACAAGCGGCCCAAATGAGTTTTCTCTGCAGGGTTGTTGGGCTCTCCCTTAGAGATAGGGTGAGAAGCTTCTTCATATTGGAGGGGCTCAGAGTAGATCCGCTACTCCTCCACATTGAGAGGAGCCAATTGAGGTGGCTCAGGCATCTGGTTAGGATGCTTTCTAGACGCCTCCCTGGTGAGGGCACATTCAACTGGGAGGAGACGTAAAGGAAGACCCTGGACACGCTGGAGGGACTATGTCTCTCATCTGGTCAGGGAACACCTTAGGATTCCCCCAGAGGAGCTGGCTCAAGTGGCTGGGGAGAGGGAAGTCTGTGCCTCCTTGCTTATGCTACTGCCCCAACTACACGACCCAGGATAAGCAGCCAAAAAATGAATGAATGAATGAATGAATGAATGAAAGGATGTCTAAAATATAAGGACAGATCTATGTTTTTTTTACTTTCTTTGTTTATTTAAGCCAGCTGAAACCTATGTGAGTCCATGTGAGGTGAGCAGAGTAGATCATTGGGATTTCTGTGTCCCATCCAGATCATTGCAACTACAGTGCTGATTGGAAAAAGATATTTAGAGACACAAATTATTTAATCAGCAAAGCTAAAATATAAAAAAAAAAAAAGAAATCTGCTTCTGCTTGCTAAATAAATTGCGGCCGACATAGGAAATCAAACCGGGGTCAGGACATGGAAAAAAGAATGAACCACTAGACTACCAAAACCAAAGCAACAATTAAATTGCCTAAGACGCAGCTGTCGTACGTGCATTTTTCTGGAGCAGGAATGGGCATAGCACCAGCGCTGTTTCAATTCAAAAATACTTTATTAATCCCAGAGGGAAATTGATTGCTGTAGTAGCTCAGAATAATAATAATAATCAAGTCATCAAAGAGTTATTGTATATTACAATGGCTGTTGGCAGGAAGGATCTCCAGTAGCGGTCAGTGTTGCAGCGAAACCGAAGAAGCCTCTGACTGAAGACACTCTTCCGTTGTCGGACAGTCTTGTGAAGAGAAAGCTCAGGGTTGTCCATCATTTCCTTGATTCTCTGGAGAATCCTTCTTTGCATTATCTCCTCCAGTGGTTCCACAGTCATCGACAGAACAGAACCAGCCTTTTTTATTAGACTGTTGAGCCTTTTCAGGTCCCTGCTTCTGATGCTACTACCCCAACAGACGATGGCTGAAGAGATTACACTCTCAACAACAGACTTGTAGAAGATCTGCAGCATCTTACTACAGACGTTGAAGGACCTAAGCGTCCTCAAGAAGTGCAGTCTACTGTGTCCCTTCTTGTAAACGGCTTCGCTGTTCTTTCTCCAGTCCAGTCTGTTGTCCATGTGAACTCCAAGGTATTTGTATTCCTCAACCACCTCCACTTCTTCTCCCATGATGGAAACAGTGTTTGACTCCGCCCTGTTTCTTCTGAAGTCTAAAATCATCTCCTTTGTTTTGTTCACATTCAAGGTCAGATGATTGTTTCCACACCATGCCACAAAGCGCTCCACCAGCTCTTTGTACTCAGCTTCCTGTCCATCTCAGATACACCCGACAACTGCAGAGTCATCTGAGTATTTCTGTAGATGATAGGTCTCTGATTTGTACTGGAAGTCTGAGGTGTACAGGGTGAAAAGGAATGGTGAGAGTACATACACATGCTTTCTTCTTTACTCTCTATCTAAAAGTATTCATGTAAAAATGTCACAGGTAGAAAAAAAAACATCTTCAAAGAATTCCTCTGCAACCACAAGTTTATTTTGCACTACTCATCAGTTTCTTCAGGGAAGAAAAAAACAAAGTCTGAAAAGCTTTAAAGTTTAACAGATGGAAAGTAGTTTTAGCTCAATCTGATCTGAGATTAATACTTTTGACAAATGAATAATAAACAAACAATCAGCTGGAATGAAAGTCTTTGTG